TGCCGAAAGATTTCTACCCATCTTTTTTCAAGTTCTATTTTCTCATTGTTCCATTTCTTTAATTTTTCTTCATTTACAAAATAAATTTACTCTTCCGATTTCTTCAAAAAGAAAATTGTCATTAATAACAATATCTTTTACTTCCTTTATTACAAATTGGACTGCTGAAGAAACTTTTTTCCATTAAATTTTTCTATTTATAAGGGTCCATTTAAAACAATTCAATGCTCTAAAGTTCATTATCCATTCTTCGATATATTCATAGCAAATTTTATAAAAATTTTTAACTTCTTTAAAAAATTTTTTTTTTTCCCGGGATTGGAATCTTCCAAAGTGGTCAGTTTATAGGCTTTAATATAGCCTTTAATATTGTATATAGTAGTGTATGTATATGTTTTTTTATTTAAATTTGCCTTTAATTTGTTTTTTTATATTTTTCTGCAAAAAAATTTTTCTGTCACTTTATCCTTCTGAACTTATGTGATTAAGTTTTTGTTTTCTCTTACATATTTTCTCACTCATCTTATCTCATCCGTTCATTTTCTCTTTTTTTTTTCATTTTTCTTAGCGTTACTCTTTTATATTTTTGTGTTAATTCCAACTTTTTAAATAGTATTGTTCCTTATACTTCTTTTTTTATTACTTGTATTAATGTAGTTTTCTTTCTTTCTTCTTATTTTTTATTTTATTTGTTTATTTTATGAAGGTGTTGCTCCATTGACTTGTTTTTAATATGAGTGACACCGAACATAAATTTGTAAATTATAATTAAGTTTGTAATTTTTGATTTTATGGTTAATTAACCATAAGCGCATGTGTAGTATGTACAGTAAGGTTTTTGTTATCCTTTTATTTAATTAAATAAATGAATAAAAAACTTTGCTGTACATACTACGCATGCCTCAAGACTGTCAAGCATGGCATACATACTGCACATCAAAGATCAGCCTGGGGATTACATATGCAAATGTTGGATCCATCTCTTTTCACAAATGTAATTTTGACATTGTTAGAAAAAGAGGTCTGTAGTATCTATCTATCTATCTCTCCAGGTTCATAATACGGCCTCTCAATTGTGTTGAAAATGGCAGCCATATGTGCATTCAAAATTTAAATCACTGTCAAACTTGTATCTGGTGTTTGCCCTGTCCTCTGACGTGCTGGAAACGGCTAGCAATATGTGCGCATGAAATTCAAATCACTGTCAAAATAATTTTAAATATTTAATTAATAAAATTGAAAGGAAATAATATCAAAAAAAATGTTTTAGAAATACAAATGAGTACAAAATTATACAAATGAGTACTTTCAGAGTACAGGATTTGAAAAAAGTACGGTTTGTGAAAAAAGAGTAAAAAAACTCAGTAAATGAGAATAGCAGGTCACCTTAATTGTCTACATAATTTTTTGGTAGATTTCAAAGTTCTTGCAAAAGATGGTTTTATCTATGAAAATATTGAGTTTGCTGTTATCATATGTGATGCACCAGCTAGAGCATTTGTAAAGTGTATTAAAGGACACAATAGTTATAACTGATGTGAATGTTGTGCTTAGAAAGGAGAGTGGTGTGGCAAGATAATTCTCCTACATATTTCACTAATTTTGAGCACTGATTCTGATTTTTTGTCATTAAAAGCATTCTAAACATCTTAGTGGTGTGTTAAATTGAATTAAATTTTGACATGGTGACAAAGTTTCCTTTAGACTTAATGCATCTAGTATGCTTAGGGGTAATGCGAAGATTTCTCAACTTATGGTTAAATTGCCCAAATGTTGTAAATTGTCTCAGATTACAGTCAATACTTTATCTGGCGGATTGTTCCAGATACGTCATTACATTCCAAGAAATTTTTATAGAAAATCAAGGTTTTAATTAGATATTAAAAAATGGAAAACAACTGAGCTTAGACTATTTATAGTAAACACTTGACCAGCTGTTTAAAGGGAATGGTTAAGCCAAAAATGTATTCAATTTTTTAGATTTTTCAGTTGTAGTTCTACTTTTATAATGTTTCATTTTGTTGAAAAAATATGTTAATTTTGCTTTTCAGCTACTTATTTTTATATGTGAACTTTATCATAAGGATCAACTAGTGTACAATGTCCATTCATTAGCACATATAGAAAATAATAGAGTTAAATTTTAGGTACTTGATAGATGTCCCTCTTTCAAATACAAAACTTTTTCAGGTCAATTAAAAAATGTTTGTCTCGGGGGCTCATTTGCAAATGTAGGGGCCCTTTTACAAATGTAAGGATTTTTTTTTTAGGATTTTTATTTAGATTTTTATTTAGTTTTTAGGAATTTTTAGGCCCTTGTGACAGGTTTTTTTTTGGAATGGGGGGCTTGTATCTAGTAGCCATGACACTGTATATAAGGTATATACAATATATATCAAGTTATATACAATATAAATAAAAAAATATATTTGTTTAATAATTTTATATAATTTATTTATCAGTAACTAAAGGAATGTTATCAATTTATTATATGAATCATAAGCATGTGCTTATCTATTACAAGTACCTTTGATGGTGAAAATTACATTTTTTATCTGAAGAGAGTTGGGAGAAATTGTAAGAGTTTTATAACATATTAAAATTAATGTAAGTGTTACCAATAAAATTTAAAACTAACAGTTAAACTTAATTTTTTACAGTTCATATTGAAACGAGATATTGTGTAAAGAGGTTTTCAAAGAAGTCGTTTTAACAACAATGGAAAAGCTTCCGATTCCCGAGATAAACGTGAAAGCATTTGATACACGATTAAAGAATCGTTCAAAAGTTTGCTTAATTTTGACAGTGTAATTTTAATTACTTTTTTTTTTTTGAAATAAACTAATCAATTTATATATAAATTTGCTTTTTCTGTAAATTTTAAACATTTAAACGTAGTTTTGCAAGATTTGCAATGGGTAAACTTCGTGGGACCCTCACGGGATACCCGGCGGGCATACCCATATTGGCCCTAGAAGAAAACCGCGGCCATGATCCTGCGGGTTCCCGATGGGTCTCCCATATGGGTCCCATTTGCAAACCCAAATGGGTCCCTTACGGTTTTAAAGTAAGGGATTTGACTGGGACCCATACGGGATACCCGGCGGGCTAACCCATATGGGTCCCATATGGAAACCGCGGTCATGATCCGGCGGGATACCGTTGGTCTTCCCATACGGGACCCAGTTGACGACCCGTATGGGCCCCGTACGGTACCCGTATGTCAATGTTGGTTGGGATATTTCTATTAATATATTTAAGAGATTCAATAATATCCTTTTAAAGACTCTGCCACCAAGAAAGTTTCCTTTACAATTTCTCTGTAAAATTTCGAGGCAATTTTAAAAATTATTTTGAAATGCAATATTAAATTTAAAATAATATCTCTAACTAATAATAAAAATAGTCTCTCACTAATTCTAATAATAAAAAGTTATTGCCATTATTACTATAATTATATTTGCTAACCTGTTATTATTAATATTTATCAAAAACACATTCTGGTTGTTGAAGTCACTTTTACTCATATCAATATGCAAATATTGTCAACAGTCAGAGTGCACCATGCAGAAATATTCTTTAACATGCTGCAAAATACAAGATATACATAAGATACAAATCATATAAGACCTATTGCCTGGAACATAATATTTTATATTGTTTAACTTACTGTAACTCAATTATAATAAATAAGCATATGGCTATAATCTATATAATAACTAACATCTTTTTTTAGTTATTGTTATTTATGTAAAAGTTATTAAGTTAAATTAAAGTTTTATAACTAAAGTTTGAATGCAAAAGTTTATATCAATAAAAATTTTTATCAGTATTATAAACATAATTATTATATTACAAGTATTTACAAGTATAGGTATTGTAAGTATAAGTTATTATTATGTATATTATGAAATTATTGTTTATATTGCAAATGTACAATTTTAAATCAAAATCAAAAAATATCAATGATTAAAAAATGAGGTTGATGCATAACAATAAAGCCATATTTTTGCATTTAAACATGTAATTATATCTTTATTTATATCTGACGGTGGGTAAACTTCGTTAACATCAGTCATTTTGCTTGCATAAAATATAGAAAAATCAATGGAAAAGAGTGGATCTGTAAAAACGATTTAAAAGCTTTTAATTCCCTAAATATAACCTATCCATTACATTCTATTCGTCTGTTTGCTCTTTTTAAATGTTTCTGACTAAACTAATATTTTGATTAAACTCAAACCATTTATTATCTAATTATATCACTAGCTGCTAGTTTGCACTTTTAAAATCATTTTAAAAATGATCAAAATATAAAGTTTGTTTCGGCTAGTGACTAGCAGAAACAAAACTTTATATTTTGATCATTTTAAAAATGCAAACAGTGTCTCAATGGAACATTTACTACATGTTTAATAGTTTCTGGAACATATGTTCAACAAATATGTTGAACTTTGTAAATTCATTTAAAAAATAGTATACATGTATATATATATATACATGTATAAGAATTTTTATATATACATATATATACAATATATATATGTATATATAAAAATTCTTTTATAATGATAATAAATAAATGAAATTTTAAAACAACGTCTTTTTAACTGAGTTTTACAGTGACAAAACACATCAAAAAAAAATTCTTTTTAATTACAATGTAAATATAATGTATTCAAAAAATGTAATGCATAAAAGTTAAATTTTTAATCTTATTTCACGCACAATACGAATTAAAAATGGCAACCATCGAGTAAGTTTTGTTATGATTTTTTTTGAACCTTATGGGAAACCCGTCAAATTCCCCAGGTTATTCGGCCCTGATAAAAACCAGATAAAACCCTAACGAGCAAATATGCTTGATTTTATTACCATATGGGACCCGTCTGGAAACCAAAACACTTACCCGTCAAAATCCCGTTGCCGTAAGCCCAGACAAAAACCATACGGTACCCGTCTGTCAATGTTGGCTGGGATATTTAAAATTAACATAATACCTTATATTTAAATCGATTAGAATCAATTTTAACAAAACCAACAGTTTCTGACTCTGACAGTACCTTTACGTACGAAGGTAAAAAATATTCCCAACCAAGATTAGCGGCTTTTTCGCCGGGTTCATAGGCGTAGTCAATTTGAAATGTCAGATATAATAATTGTCTAAAGATAATAAAATATCTTGAAGTTTAAGGAGTTTATTTCAAGTTATATTAGAAATTTTCTTAATTTAAATTTAATAAGTTTACTTACTTGCATAGTATTCCATCAAATTTGACTTTTAGCAAAGGTTTACAGTACAAATTATTTGCTAAGAACATAAAAAGTTTTTAAAGAATTTATTTTTAAATTTACGCAAGAATTTAGTATGCTTGTAGAACATACTTTTAGTATTGGATAAAATTAATTTCATGATTTAGAATCAAAATTAAAACCCTGATCACAAAACACAAAGAATTAAAAAATGATTTGAAATCAAAATCCGGTGAACAAAGATTTGAAATCAAAATCCAGTGAACAAATGATTCAACATCATTAAATCAAAACTATAGTCCTGTACTAAATAAAAAAACATTGTCATATGAAAAGTCTATCACTTTGAAATGTTAAAAAAGTGCTCAATGTGTACAAACAGTGCTCAATATGTACAAAAGAAATAAAAAATCATGCATTGTTTTGCCCGTAAATTGGGAGTTTTTAACCACTTCATACCGGTTTTTTTACTAAGTTTTAGTTTGGTAAAATTTTAATTCAAGCTGCCCCTCTGCCCCTTTTAAAGCTAACTATACATACTATGCCCAATGACGGGTTTTTAGGGAGAAGGGCCTTGGACCCAGTAGGCACTGAGTATTCTTTATTAATATATAGTAAATAAACAAAAAATAATTATTTATACTTTATGAATTAACTTATTACTTATAAATTAACTTTAATATTCAACTAAGGAAAATTTAGTTAATGCAAGTTTAAATACAAAATTAAATAAAGCAAAATCAAAAATAATGTGAACAACATTTCCACACGTTTTATGACTAAAAAATAATAAAAACAAATGAAAATCAGACACAAAGAGAGAGCATTTACATGCAACAAGAGGGTACTTACTTGCACATGCATTTGTGACTATAATATTTCGTAAAAATCCTGGTTGTGCAATATGCCACGGATTGCTTGCATATATTTTAACGTTAGAAAACTCACTTGCATTTGAATTTGTTGTTGTATTGATTGTCATTCCAGCAACTTGGATAGAGTATTTATAGTGACCATCAACTAACAGCTGAGCTATAGTAACTTTTGTCCATTCTAATAGCTTTATTTCATTGGACAAAATTGCATAATTTTTGTTACCATTAACTGGTGCGCAAATTTGCATTATTCCCATTTTTGAAGGATAAAAAAAAACAGCTGGAGTTCTATCTCCATATTTGTTATTGTCTTCTTTTATGGTAAAATGAATAATGTTAGTCCAGTTATTCGTTATAAACGAGCTAGCGTTAACTTCGAAAGATATACTGTATTCTTTAGGCAAAGTTTTTAAGGTTGCCACAAGGCTATTTGCCGTTATAACTCTTTCTTCTTTCAAAACAAATGATTCTAAAGTTTAAGATTATTAGATTAAATTTTCAAATAAAATCTAGTTCATTTTGGCAGGTACAATTACTTTGCAGGAACAAGTTTTCCATTCCTTAGAATATAAATACTTATTGTGTGGCAGCTGATACTAAAGTATCTTTCGGTAACAAATTAAAACTAGTCATATATTAAGATCTGTTAGATATATATTATAAACTCGACAAAATATTAATGTATTAAAATAATGATAACTATCGTCTAATATTTAACAAGTTTATTCATAAATTTATAGCAAATAAAACATATAAATAACAATTTAGATAGAGAAGTTTGTCCATAAACATTACTTCTTAGGACGAATTATTTGAACAAAATTAAGAGTTTACAATTTATTATTTATAATAAGTAATTAAAGAGCATTACGGAAAAATGACCAAAGTCGACTTTTTTCAGAAACGTATATAATGGTTCCTCTGCATACTCAATACAACTATGTATCTTTTCTGACAGCATGAAAAATCATTTTCATTTGCATTAAAATCGCCTACGTCCGATCTTATTTCGTTCTGAATTTTCAAAGTCTTTTAAGTTTTCTTAGACATTTAAAGTTTGTTTTTTGAATAAATTAAAATAAAACGATTTTGTGGCTTTGGTCGTTTTTCAAAAACAATTACTATTATTATTATTATTATTTTAGATACTATATTTTAGTTCTATATTTTAAATCTAACCATTCGATCTTTGTTATTATTGATATAATACTTTAAGCTAACTTGACAATTAAGATTAATGTGATTTATCAGACAATAAAGTTATATTAATCGCTTATTATAAATACAAACAGCTTTGCCCAAACAATTAAAAAAAATATTAATCGTTTACTATAAATAAAAACAGCTCTGTTCAGACATTAACTCCTATTTATAAATACAAACAGCTCTGTATTATAATAAAATAACATATTATTTAATTTGTTTGAATAAAATGAAAACTTATTTACATCGATTATTTAAAAAAGGTGCAACTTTTTTATTAAATCCATTATAAGTAAATTAAAAAGAAAAACTACAATATTATTATAATGGCAATATCAGTCCTCAGGCTTGATTGGTTCTGAGCCATAACCAAAATCACTCTAACACTGCTACACTTGAGACTGCACTCAGATCATTACTAACTTTTTTTGAATAAAAATTAATACTGAATCTGTATCCAAACTAAAACAAGTTTAAACACTGCTCAGGGTCTCAGAATCCTCAAAAAGTGGCCAAATATAATAATAAAAAAAATATTTCAGCTTAAAAATGTTAATATTTTGTATATTTATTTTGCCTCTAAAAAATTATCTACAATGTTGTGTTATATAAACAATATCTACATGGCCGGGGCAAAAAAAAAGACGAAAAAAAAAATTGTCAAGTCGCAATCCCCCGTAAGCTGGGGCGTGTTAAAATTGTGAAGCGTGTCTTAAAAAAAATGCAAATAAAAAAAAAAAACCTAACATAGAACTTAATTCATTAACGTTATGTTCTTAGTTAGAGTTTTTGTTTCAATAGAGAAAGAAAAGAACAATTTTCCAGTTCATTTAATGTTCATATTTTAAGATCTATGATTGCAAAAAAGTTTTATAAATAATGCATTTTAGGTTGCACATAATTGTAATTTAAAAATCCTGTAGAGTAAATGAGATTAATTTTTATTGAAAAATTCATAAAATATAATTGTTATTACCCAGTGGGCACACGACGTTATTTCGACGTTGATTTACAGTTGATTTTTAGTCGCGACGTCGTATAACCAAAAATCAACGTTGTAGCAATGTTGAAAAATTTGTTTAAAATTATCAAATAAAATCGACGTTGATTCCACGTTAATTCAACGTCTATATTACGAGTTCGACCGTTCGTAATTGCAATATGAGAACTAAAATACGCATGCGTGACTTAAAAATTTTTATATTAGCATAACAAATAACAAGTAAAGACTTGAAAAGTTACTTATTAGCCCAATAAAAACAAGTAAAGTCACACATGCTAATAAATTAAGCCATCTGTTGCCTTTTTATAAGGTTTTGAATTTGACAATTTAACAATAATACATGGCTTAACTTGTGAAACAGTTAGTTAGGTAAATATTAAATGGAAATCCGCGTTTTACAGAACCGATTTTTGTGCTAAAAAACTGTGCCACGCTTTTTAGAATTTTTTTTAGCTAGCGTAGGGAAGACGTGTTTAGTTGGAAAACTTTTTAGAATTTGATATCAATATAGATTATTTTTAGAAACTAGAATAGTTAAACTTTGTTACTGTTAGGTTTATTATTTTACTAGATAGCTTTTTTATAGAGTTTTTTGATGTCTAAAACTTTGTTGTACTTTGGGCATGAAATTAATGTCGAAGATATGCTCATTCATTTTTCTATACTATTCTTTCATTTAAGTTTTTCATTTATCTATGCACCTGGAAAATTTCATTGAAAAAAAAGTTGTAGCAGGGTGTCTATTTTTTGTCGCACTTTTGGTACCTAATTCTCATTTTGCTGAAATGGGCGCGGGAGACAGAGGGGCTAATCAAACATTTTTTATATTTGATTTAGATTGAATAACATTTTCAGTTTTTTTTTAGATTAAATAAAATGGAAGGTCAAAATAATGATAAAGGTTTTCAATATTGTTTCCTATTTATTAAATTTAAAAAAAAAAAAATTAAACTTTAATACTTTAAACTTTAAACTTTAAAGTATTAAATTACTTAGTAAGGAAACATCAGTTTACTTACCTTACTTAGTAAGGAAATGTTACTTTAATGTTACTTTAAAGTTTAAAGACATTAATATTATAACATATTTTATCTTACATTGTATTACAATGTAAGAGTGTTGTAATCTTTTTTTTTTTAATAATTGACTGTTAATCTTTCAACTTTAATAAATAATATAAATTATTTATATTATTTATTACAGTTGAATTTTATTTATTTTATTTATATTATTTATTACAGTTGAATCGTACTTTATTTATTAAATAAAATACGTTCATATATAACTTATATATGTTAGTGAAATTATTCAACTTTTATGTATAATACATGTAACATAATAATGAAAAACATTTGTTATATTGTTTTAGCAACTCAAAGCAGTCCAATGGTGGCAGCCAACAATATTAGTTAGTTATTTTACACATTCCATACCCATTAGTTTCTTTTAACTTAAGATCAGTAGATATAGTCTAGACAAATGTTTGTATTATTTTGTTAAAAAAAGTTTTTCAATTGTTTTTTAGAAGATGCTTTTGAGAGGATAAGTCAGTTTCTTTGTTATGCTTTATTATTTTAGTATTTAGTTATCTGCTTTCAGTATTCATTTAAAGATCTTTATTACAATTATCCACAAAATTTTTTTACAGTTGTTTATTTATGTATTCCTAATTTTTGCTTTCTTTTTATTGAGTCATTGTTGTTTTTTTCTATAGACAATTTAGAACAAGTAGAGTTTAAACTATTTTAGTTATTTAGTCATTTAAACTTATTTTTTGCAATGTTAGTGTTATAGTTTAATTTTATAATAAAGTTCGTAATTTAAAATTGGCTTTTAGGTGAATTCAGACAGGCGATATGTAAGTTTGGTAAATTTTAACAATTTCAATGGTATAGTTTAATGATACATGCTAACTAAAGATTATTACTTTATTAATAAACACTAAAGGTGTTACATATCTAATTTAAAATTTGAACGTTGTTTTTATAATAAAGAATCTTGTCTTTTAAATAACTTATTCGAAAAGATATTCCTTAATAAATAAAGTTTATTTATTAAGGAATATCTTTATGAATAAGTTATTTTAATATAAATTTATTAAACTGTTTCAAATTATTATTTGGCCACTATCTAATCTTTATTTATAACTTAAATATTTCTTTTGCTGTTTTAGATGCTCAAAGTTATAGTGAAGTTGTAGCCGACAACATCAGTTTCTGTATTTAATAGCTTAGTAGTTATTATATAGCATATATATATATATATATATATATATATATATATATATATATATATATATATATATATATATATATATATATATATATATATATATATATATATATATATACAATATATATATATACATTTATATATATACATATATATATATATATATATATATATATATATATATATATATATACATATATATATATATATATATATATATATATATATATATATATATATATATATATACATAATATATATATTTACATATACATATATATATATATATATAACAAAATTTACATATATATATATATACATATATATATATATATATATATATATATATATATATATATATATATATATATATATATATATATATATATATATATATATGTATATATATATATATATACACACATATATATATATATATATATATATATATATATATACACATAATATATATATGTATATATATATATATATATATATATATATATATTATATATATATATATATATATATATATATATATATATATATATATATATATATATTATATATGTATATATATATATATATATATATATATATATTATATATATATATATTTGTAAAAATAAAGTTCATTTAATTTCTGTTTAGATGAAGTTGCTTTAGAGAGGATCAGTCAGTTAAACCCCTATTATATGATTTAATAATTTAGTATTTAGTCATTTACTACTAGCTTCTCTTACTGTGATGGAGACATTTAAAGAGGAAACAGCTAGTGCATAGCTTCACAATATAGATAGTGAGGAATTAATGGGTATGTTTAGTGATGCAAAAGTATGGTTTCCTAATGCAACAATTTGCTATATCACTTGCAAACTAAGATCAAAAAAGAATAGGACTGTTGACTATCTAGACACTCCAGATTTTAAGTTTAAGAGAAAAGATTGTTAAATGGTCAATTAATGTAGCACGTAAAAACAAATTTACATATTGGCTGAATCGATGCAAAGTAAGAGATGAGATTTGCCAAAGACAAAAAATCAAGTGGCAAAGTTAATAAAAGAAAAAATGACTTCATTTACACCATTTCTTACTGGAAAGATGATGAAACTGATATTGAAGCTGCTGACTATTGCATGAAAAAGACCCAGCATGCTGCTGATATTGTTTCTGGTGAGTTACAATTTAATGAATTTAAAAAACACAAGTGTTGTGACTTGCCTAAATTATATAGCAAGTGTTGTGATTTGCATAAATAATACAGCTTGTGTTGTGACTTGCCTAAAATATATAGCAAGTGTTGTGACTTGCATAAATAATACAACAAGTGCTGTGACTTGCCAAAAATGTATTTCAAGTGTTGTGACTTGCATAAATAACACAGCTAGTGTTGTGACTTGCCTAAATAATATAGCAAGTGTTGTAATTTGTTAAATTTTTTGAAAGACGACTCTGGCTTACCCTCGTGTGCTGGCTATTATTAAAAATAATTAAAATATAGTTTTATTACTGGAATTAATCATATTAATCATTCACTAAAAACCAAGACAAAAATATATTAAATTATTTTTAAAATAATTAAATTTTTTTTTTTTTAATGTTAACATTTTATTTATTATTTATTTTGAAACAGAAATTTGTTTGTTAACCAAACAGAATGGCTAGCTCGTTAACCATACTGTATGGTCCTTACTTATTTTAATGTAATAATCACATGAAAGACTTTAATATAGGTAGTTGCTATACTTGGTTATAAAGATGACATGTTTTTTCACAGCCAATTGACTTATAATTATAGCCCCACAATAGTAGTTGTATAATTTTTTAAGTAATATATATCCAATTGGTTTGGTTAGAGGCATTCTAATGCCCCTTCCCTTATGATATATTTGGATAGGTCCTTCCTTATACTCCATTCTCTTATGACCATGGAT